CAGGGGGCCCCGCCGCAGCCCCTCGCGTAGGGCGCTGCGGGTGAAAGGGGGGCCCGGGGACCGTCTGTGGGGAGCGCGGAGGGGGCAAGGCAGGTTAGGCAGGGCTTTAGATGTTCCCATGTTAACAGCACACCCCATCCCTGAATAGGTCGGACACCCCCCACCCCCCCCCTCGCCGTTCACTTCATTAACATTCCCACGACTACTAAATCTCGCCGCTCTCTCATCCTTCTCCCTCCCCCATCCTCTTTAAATCCGGAGGAGAAAACGGATGCCCGTCACTGAAATGTTTGTAAAGGCTTCCAACCCTGAAAACAAGAAAAGCGGTCTGGGTCCTCCCTTTCAGGGTCGGGCTTACCAGTAAGGTACCCACCCGAGTAGGGACTGGGAAGGCTGCTGGGACTTCTTCCTTCTGAGTGAGTTTTAGTCCATGTAGATGATGTTATTGCAGGTTGCTTTGCTCCGTGCTAACTTACCACGTTTCATATGGTCCTCCATTTATTTAATTTTTTGCCTCTTAATAAAAAGGACTAATGTGGTTTTGCTGTTAAAATATTTCTTTTTCTTATTCCCCCCCCCCAGCATAGTTTATTTAAACCAGGGTCTATCTTTCTAAATTAAGAGGATGTCTTTGCTAGAACATGCAAATAGGCTTTTTTTTCCCCTCCTCTTACAAGTTATTTAAAATGTTTTACTAAGGTGTGGGTCTCAACTACCATACCTATCCAGCAGATGCTAATTTCTAGTATGTCTAGTGATTTCCTAATGTAGAAACGTGGGACCGAGTCCCTCTAGCTTGGTGGAGCAGACTTAAGGAGCATAACACGTTGGTTTGTTCAGTTATTTAACCTTAGATGTTCCCATTTCCAGGATGACACTAAGAAGGCAGGCAAGCAAACACCTTCTTCAAGGGGAGTATCTGCCCTTGACGGTTTTCTGTGTCTCAAGTCTCCCTTCTTATCTGTCCCCTTGGGGTTCGTTCTGTGCTTCCAGATGTTGACGAGTGCGCAGAAGCTACGGATGACTGTCACATCGATGCAATTTGCCAAAACACACCAAAATCCTACAAATGCATCTGCAAGCCAGGCTATAAAGGCGAAGGGAAACAATGTGAAGGTAAGGACAGCTCGGCTCCTCTCCTATCTCTCCTCCCCTCCCTTCTCTTATTTGTTTGCTCTTTAAAAGCTTTTGTAAATAGCTGAATTCCTGAAACGATTAATGCAGATTTACAGCTGCTTAACCTCAAATCTCGGTGTTTATTGGCAAGCATCCCCCTGCTGCTTTTGCTAATTGTCCGGCATCGCAAACATCGTGTCCGCCAGCTTACTTCTAAAAATAAAATAAAAAAAGTTTAGAAAAAGAGGGGAGGCGTGCCCCACCGAGGCTGCTGCCGGGTTAGCACCGGCTCGTCCCGGCAGTGCTGAGCCCGGGCTGAGTGCCGGGGGCTCGAAGCGCCGCGCC